AGTGACTTACTTTGTAAACTGGGCCATGGTGTTGTTGGCATGATAAACTAATTCTAATCCCTTGAGTTATAAACAGCAAAATTGGACTGTGAATACTCGGCAGAATCCTTTGAAATTCATAAATGGTGCTAAGTGCAGAACTATCATCCTGGCAAAATGATAGCGTGGAAGAACAAAAGACTGCTTCTAATGAACCTCACGGCTTTTTTCAAGACCTGAGCTCAGGTGAGAAAAGGCTTGCAGGATTATCAGTCACTAACTAAGCTTAAAAAAAGAGATCCTGTCAGGAATATGCATTCAGCAGCTGATCGGCCACGGAGAAGGTGTCATAAATCTTGTAAGTAAATCTAAGTAAGTCGTTGTAGTCTGCACATTTTCTGAATTCAATTTCACGGCACTCACTGAACGTAATCTCCTCCACTGCTCGAAGGTAACATTCTTCTCACACAATCAGTGTAGCAGGTTAATAGCAGCCCGTTCACCGCCAAACAGTCCCATAGTTCATTCAGCACAGAAGGACTGGATGTTATTTCCCCGTCTCTGGGGCTGCTGATAACCCCGTAAAGACCTCGTGTTGAAATGGATTTTTGTCTCAACCTTTGGGATGATGAAGTGTGTTGCAGCTCTGGCTCGGTCCAAAGGGGGACGTGACAGCAGTGACCAGGAGGAATTTGAGGACACTAAACTGAATTTGACACGTGTGAATTGCATTCTTGTGACATTTGCCCGTTTTGGTCTTTCCTTCTAAGAAGAGGTGGTAAGCTGTGCGCCCTTGAATCCTATGCAGGAAAGAAAAGGCACTTACAAAATGAATAATGCTCAACACACGACAATATCAGGAATCACAAATCCAAAGATGACATGTGTTGCATATATTGTATAGAAACCTCCTTCACATAGATGGAGCCATACAACTGCTGTCATTTCCCTGTTTGCTTGTTTTGGCAGAGCCGCTCCAATGCCTCTATTCTCACCGCTAACATTCTTTTAATCCATTCATATAAATTACATGCCATGTTTCAGCTTCAGAAAAAGGGAAATCAAAAAAGCAATTTCTCACTGTAGCAGTTTATATTTGTCAGCGAGCCTCTATTCTGGGACCTTCCTGCTCTTCCATGTGCGTATGTGGACAGTGGCGTGAAAGAGGCCCAGAGAACAGCAGCAAAACCTGAAGTCAAACATGGCGGCCCATTGTGTGGGGCTTGTGGGACGAGGCTATATCTCTTAAAAATACAGAACATAATAACAAATTTACTTTACAACATTCATGGACTGTACCA